GATTCATACTCATATAGATTCTTTATTATAACATCCTGGGTGTGCTCTCAACTTATTTCTATTTAATAGTGAAAAGTAAATCAACTCAGGAGCAGTTTTAACATCAGAGAAGCTATGCTAGTCTCAGTGTCCTAAAAGACTTTTCCAACTTAGCAGAACCTTTGCGATGAATTTTAATGATGGCGATTTTAATCAGACATTTGAGTTGAACATCAGTTGGGACATTTTCAATATTAGCACTTGCCCTTGGGCTGGTTTTCCACCCACATTCAAGACAGGTGCACTGACTTCTCCTTCACAAGGGGGGTGTGCGTAGGGTCAGAGGCCATCTGGGCCAGGGAGCAGAGTGAAAGCTGTCAACTGTCAGACACTGGATTTAAACTCTTCTGACTGCTCTGTCCCAGGTGAGACACTCTAGCCTCCAGACCTCGGCCTTCCCATCTACAACACAGGCTCTTCAACACTACCTACCTCGCAGAAAACCTAGATCAATGGAATATATGCTCAACAGTAGTGGCTGTTGCTACTATGGTCACAGCAGAGAGCGGGAAAGCCAGGTGCCAAGCGGCTCTGCAACTTAACTGGTATTTGGCTGAACTCTGGATGTGAACAACAACAACAAATTGTACCTGGTGTTAGTTTTGCCAGTTGAACCACAAATATTTGATTTTGTTGCTCTTTATTTTCCTCCCAAGGTGGGAGGGGGGCTTGCCATGTAGCTCTGGCTGGCCTTACACCATCAGTGTAGCTGTGACTGGCGTCAAACTTGTGATCCCCCTGCCTGTCTCCCAAGCACTGGCTGGCATTATAAGTGTGTATCGCTGCAACCTGCTTAAGAATCTAAATTTGTTGACCTCTGAGCAGTCTCTCATGTTGTCTAGCTGACTTACTCCCTCTAACTTTCAGAACAGGATGGCAACCACGATCCCCACCTCTTCTCTGGATTCCAGATATGAATGCCTTGGGAAAATGATTTCAAACATAAATTACAGACCTTGGGCTGGGTTTGCAGCTCAGTAATGAAGCGCTTGCCTGGCACTTGTAACGGCTTGACGTTGGTTTCCATCTCTACCATGCTCTCTCTCTGTCTCTCTGTCCCTCTCTCTCCAGAGAATGTAGGTTAATTAATCTAAATCAGCCTGAATTAAAAAAAAAAAAAACAAACAAACAAACCATGTGTCTCCTGACCAGCCTTGTCCCTCTTTTGGGAACATGGCTCTTTGCTGGAGAACCATGGCACAAGCTCATATACAGTCTTGAGAACACATTGAAAGCAGCTCTCTCCTGACATCACCTTCTCCAGAAACCTTCTCAGTCTGTGCCCCAGATTCAACCTACATGTCTACGCCTCTAATCCAACAAAGGATGCTTTCCTTGACTTAGGAAGAAAATGGGTACAAAAGGTTGCACCAATGACCCACACTTTTCTATAAGTCACCCCAATTTGACACCTAGGAATGAGAAGCACTGATCCCTCCAAAGATGTCATGGCCTTGTGTTGAAGCAGGACATACAGCATTCCCTCAGTCTAAGGTATTAGGCTCAGAAGCTGTAGCTTGTTCCTCAGTCTACTCATTAAACTGAGGGGGGGGGGCAAAAATGTTGCCCCCGCCACAATTTCAGAACTAGGAAAGCAAAATAAATGTCCTAGAATGAAACACAGCTTACTGTGCTACTGGAAGAGACTGATTTGTTTTCACAAGAGATGTGGCGGTCAGCTGGGTGTGGTAGAGCAAGCCTGTAGTGCCAGCACTGGGAAGGCTGAGAGCATCAAAAGGATCATGAGTCTGAGACCACCTCAGGCTACACTGTGAAATCCTATCCAGGCAAAACAAAATAAGAAAACGAACAATTTAACTGGGCATGGTGGTGCACGCCTTGAATCCTAGTCCCCAGGAAGTAGACAGACAGACCTCTGTGAGTGTGAGGCCAGCCTGCTTCACACAGGGAGTTCTAGGCCAGGGCTACATAAAGACCCTTTCTGAAATGAAACAAATTAATAACAACAAAAAGCCCCACAACAGGGGTGTGAGTTTATGAACTACACACACGTGTGCCATGGACTACTAGTTAGAATATTTCGTGTATGTACATGTACACTTTCACACACACATACAGAATGATACAGGACCATAGATGGATAAGCCAAGTGGGAAAAGCCCAAAGCTATCATGTGCATATACAGCAATTACAATCCTACTTATGAAAGAAACCATGTATACACAGCATGCATGTACAGGTATGTCACCTCCGCGTGCAACCCTGATAGAAGGTAGAGAAAAACATCCCGGCAGGATGCATAAGAAACGCACAGTGTGCTGTGTACTGGGCCTAGTGTGTGGGTGCAGGCAAACTTTGGGGAGACTGTGTGTCCTATATGCCAGCATTCGACAGCATTGAATTCTGAAGCCGTGTATGCACAGAGCCCGCTAGCATTCCATGTCTAACATGGTAGAAGTGGCTCATCCCATTACCGGCCAGGGCTTCCTTTTTCTTGTCAGTGTTGCATTATCTGTCATAGGAAAATGAAACTGGGGAAGCTTTTATAATGCCTGTGAGCTTCACTTTAGTTTATGCTTTCTAATTACTTTGTACATCTCTGATTCTTACGTACACGGGAATTTCATTTTCCAAACCCTCCAGTGAAGTAAGATGGAGCCCACGTGGGCCTCCATCCCACACTGCCATACTATGCTGCTGACTGAGGCATCTTGTGTGTCAAGGACCGAGACAGGAAAAGCCAATTTCAGGGCAAGGCTGCCAGTGGCAGGAAGATGCTCTTCAAAATACCAAGTGTTGAATTTGTCTAGGGAAAGTTCGAATGTGCCTCATTCCAGCCAGGTTTATTTTCCTGACAGAACTCTCTATTAATTCTCGTCCACTCCTCTGGGCTGATTGTGTAGCAGAGTGTGTGTAGTGTGAGAATTTCCGTCTATCTATCTATCTATCTATCTATCTATCTATCTATCTATCTATCATTTATCTATCATCTATCTATCTATCTATCTATCTATCTATCTATCTATCTTCTATCTCTATCTATCATCTATCTATCTATCTATCATCTATCTATCTATCATCTATCTATCTATCATCTATCTCTATCTATCTATCATCTATCTATCTATCTATCTATCATCTATATCTATCTATCTATCTATCTATCTATCTATCTATAATCTATCTCTATCTATCTATCTCTATCTATCATCTATCTATATCTATCTATCTGTCTATCATCTATCTGTCTATCTATCATCTTTCTTCTATCTATCTATCATCTATCTATCTCTATCTCTCTATCTCTCTATCTATCTCTCTATCTTCTATATCTATCTATCTCTATCTATCTCTCTATCTATCATCTATCTATCTATCATCTATCTATCTATCTATCTATCATCTATCTATCTCTATCTATCTATCATCTATCTATCTATCTATCAATCTATCTATATCTATCTATCTATCATCTATCTCTATCTATCTATCTCTATCTATCTATCATCTATTTATCTATTTATCTATCTATCATCTATCTATATCTATCTATCTATCTATCATCTATCTCTATCTATCTATCCATCTATCATCTATCTATCTCTATCTACCTATCATCTATCTATCATCTATCTATCTATCTATCATCTATCTCTATCTATCTATCTATCTATCTCTATCTATCTATCAATCATCTATCTATCTCTATCTATCTATCTCTATCATCTATCTATATCTATCTATCTATCTATCTATCTATCATCTATCTATCTATCTGTCTATCATCTATCTGTCTATCTATCTATCATCTATCTTCTATCTATCTATCATCTATCTATCTCTATCTCTCTATCTATCTATCTTCTATATCTATCTATCATCTATCTATCTCTCTATCTCTCTATCTATCTATCTATCTATCTATCTCTCTATCTATCTATCTATCTCTCTCTCTATCTATCTATCATCTATCTATCTTTCTGTTTCTGATTGATAAGTGTGTTTGTTTAGTCATCAGAAGCCGGAGGCACAGTCGTGGGCATGTGTGCACGCACACACATACACACAAACCCCTACACAGTGTCGAGCACTACAGACCCTTCCACAATGATTCAACTCTTTTTTACCAAATGGAAGCCACTAAAAACAACTCCTCTGCCCCAAGACACACCTGCATACAGGATCGCTCCCTAGGGTCAGAGAACAGGATGCCTGGGACAGGGCAATGTCCTATGGTGGTGGCCCTTGCTGATAAAGTCTGCAGCCATCTTTCCAGCCGTCTATTTAGACATACATCACAAGGGAAGAGAGAGGCACCCCCATATCCCATTTAACCATCCCTCAGAAGCAGCTAAGGCCCAGGGGGAGCTTGTATCCTATAGGCTGTGCAGGTTCCAGGTGGGCACTTTCTGCCCTCCCCACCCTGTTAGAGGGGCCCCACCAGACTCCCACTGCAGACAGGGTTGGCTCCCTTCAGAGTCAAGGCCTTATGAGAAAAGGATACAGCCCCAACAAGACAGGCCCAGCTGAGCTGCCCAGGACAGCACAGCCATCTGTCATCAGTGGTGGCTGACTACGTCCTGAGGAAAAGCCACATCGAAAGCTGTGGTTGGAGCAGGAGTGTGTGCCCTTCTTCTCCACACTCCCAGCTAACCACCCCTCACCTAGGCGAATTCCACGGAATAGGGCCCTGTGGCTAGGACTTCCTTACACACAGATCTAACCTACCAAAAGGAAGGCGAAGCATGAGGCAGAGAAAGTCATCTGCTGCCTGGCTTCCTCAGTGTTCAAAAGGGTTCCAGGAGAAGCTCAGTGAGCAAAGCATGGCAAGGAGGTTAAGTGGCTGCTCCGAGTACATCCTGAAGCCACATGTCTCTTGTGAGACATGAACATATCTGACTGCGGAGAGATGCCTCGCTCCCCAGCATGCCAGCGAGGTAGCAGGTAGAAGTGCATAGCTGGGCGGGAGAAAGACTGAAGGAGGTTCCCATTCTCTTAGGACCATGTATTTTATATAGCAAGTATGTCTGATGTTGAAGGGAAAGTTCCAATTGTATTACAGCCCATGAGGGGTGCGTTCCTCCCGTGGACACTGCACACACATACCCTGGCCTAGGGGAGGCTCTAAGCCTGCGTAGGGAGGCTCTAAGCCTGCGTGGGGATGCTACGGGACCCCCCTCCAGGAGGGGAAACGGCAGAAACACTTTACTTTTCTTCTGTGGACAGGCGGTGCAGGGCTGTGCCCAAGTCCTCTAGTCTGTCTTTGTGCTCCAGTTCCTGGTACAAGCCCTGTGGAACAGTGGCCAGGCCGTGCAGCAACCCGAACAGGCAGCCAGCGATTGTTCCTGTGGCTCCGCTCTCACCTAGAACAGCAAACACGAGTGTGTCTTAGGGGGCTCCCCACCGAGTCAGCCTGCTCCCCCCAATCTCTGAGACCATCCTGGAGGACACATGGGTCATGGTAGACAAGTTACAATCCTAGTACTCAGGAGGCTGAGGTGAGTATAGTGAGTTCAAGTCCTGCCTGGGCTAGAAAGTGAGTGTCAGGCCAGCCAAGGGTACCACAGTACCCTATCTCAAAACAAACAAAACCCTGCAGGTGTTTTCCGTCTCTCCCCCTATCCAGGTGACACCTGGTGGCATTAGGTGGCAGATAGGTGTGCAGAGTGGAGCTGAGAGAACGAAATTCTAACAGACAGCATGAGCCCTGTCCCTGTTTGTGCAGCCTGAACATCTGGAAAAGGCTGGCTTCAGCTCTCATAATAAACCCTGAAGTGTCTCAGCTGAAAGACAGCTTGGAGCAATCTCCTAAAGGGGTTCTGTGTGAGGTGAGCAAGAAAATGTGACTGCCTGTGGCTGCTGTGTCTCCTGGCGGTCAGAGCCCCTTCGTGGTCAGCACGCTTGATGCTAGGTTAGGTTGTTCCTCTATCAGGAACTCAGGCAGCGGGGCACATTCCCAGCTGCCACATGGGTGCACTTGGATTCATTACACTGTGCATTTCACCTTTTCCAGGTTTTTCTGCTGGATTATGGGAAGAAATATCCTAAAAGGGAGATCTGATCCTCCCATCATGATTGGGAGGAGAAAAGCATTACCTTACTCCATGAATATGCTCCCCACTTCATAAAAATGTATAAACTTGTCCTTAAAGTGGAATGTGCAGAGGCCACCGGGCTGCTCTCTGTTTCTGACGGTTGAGTATTCATGGCCTTTCCATCTCTGGTTTGTAGTAAAGTCAATCAGAGCCTACTTTTGCCTGTTTTTTTTTTAATATACTTATTTTTCTTTTATGTATATGTTTTGCCTGCATAAATGTATGTGCGCCATATGTGTGCCAGAAGGATATGAAATCCCGTGGAGTTAGAGTTAGTGATGGTTGTAAGTTACTATAGATCCTGGCAACTGAACTCAAGTGTCTGCAAGAGCAGCAAGTGCGCGTGAGCGCTGACCTGGATCTCCGCCCACGGTTTGTTTTTGAGTCAGGGTCCTTTGCAGCCCAGGATGGCCTTGAGTTCACTATGGAGCTGAATGAAGCTGGCCTTGAGCTTGTGTTCATCTTGACTTTGCCTCCCCAACACTGGGAATACGGACATGTGCCACCGCCACAGGCAGTTTGTGAGATGCCAGGATTGCTGCAAGTTAGGCAAGCGCTCTACCAGCTGAGCTACACCGACCTCCTCACCCTGCAACGTCTAAAGGTTTAGCACACTTCTTCCCTGGAGGCGGAGGTGGGTATGCACATGCGCCGCAGCACTTGTGTGGAGGACTTGGTCCTTTCCTTTTGCCACATCCTGGAGTTAATCTCAGGCTAGCAGGCTGAGCTACAATTGACCTGCTGAGCCATGCCCTATCCCCATGTGATCCAGGCTACCCTCCCACTCATTATGTAGCCAAGTGTGAATGTTTGACCTTTGTGTCCCCATCTCTCAATGCTTGGATTACAGGTATGCAACACAACACATGCCGTGTGTGTGTGTGTGTGTGTGTGTGTGTGTGTGCGCGCGCGCGTGCGCGCATGTGTGGTGCTGGGAATCAAACTTAGGGCCCATTCATCCTCCGGAAGGACTCTGACATCCCCACAGTCTGCTCTTCAGAATCACTTTTCGGGGCTACCTGCTTCCCAAAGTCTCAGGCAGTTGTACAATTCAGTGAAATGAGGGCAATTAGGTGTTCACAGGCAGGGTCTGAAACTTCAGGAAATGGCCAGTTCTAAAAAAAAAAAAAAGCTGTGCGGAGATCTCCAAGTCATGTGGCCCTTGTCTCTTTGGCTGAGAACCTTAGAACTGCCTCTGGTTCCTCCCCACATGACCTTTGACCCCAAGCTGCTTCTGAGTCCTGATAATATTTCAGACATGTTCTCATGCACTAGCATGTGCATGCTTGTGCACACGCAGACACACACAGACACACACACACACACACAGTGCAGAGAGGAACTGGACTGAATGAGGCTGGGACCACAATGGCTGATGGAGTGGGGAAGTTGGGGCGGTGGTTCTTGGAGTAGATATGCCTAGAGAGCTGGGTGCTGGTCCCAGGAGAGGCCTGAGCATGGCCAGGAACAGCCAGAAAGATAAAGAGCCATTCTAGCCAGGCCTGACTTTCCACACCTTTTCTTTCTCTCCTTCCACCAAAACCTGCTTCCAGGGTGCTTCTGACACAGTTGTTCATTCTCAGAAGAAAGCTGAAAATGAGGGACCCAGCGGGTTGTGGGACAAAGTTCTGGTCCCACACAGACCTTTCCACTGGCAGCTGAGGGCTCCGGCCACGCACTCAACTGCACTAAGATGCTTTAGTAGTCAGAGGCAATTGCAAGGGCAGCGACTTTCTTACGAGCTTCTCTTAGACACCCAAGTCCATCCTGCCTCTCTTGGCCACTCCTGGCACCCTGTCTTCCTCTTTGTCTCAGAGCTTGCCTCAAGCGGCCCTCAGCAGCATCAGCTATCCTAGCTGAAGTATTGTCATCACCCAATATTAGTGAGCCTAGCCTGGAGTTCTGCACAGGTGGGGAGGTAGGCATCTCTTTTCATCACTTGTTTTCCCCCATGGAGTCGGGGCTACCGGGGGACAATGGCCTCAGGAAGAGAAGCACTTCCTCCCAAGTCAGGCTTGCACAGGCTACAGAACTGCAGGTTGGGGGAACCTGTGTAGCCAGCTCGAGGGACACCTGCCAGCTCCGAGTAAGTGTCCCTACACCTAGCTCACTGTCCTGACTCTAGAGTGTGTCCAGCAATGGAGATGAGCTTGCATCTGGGGCTGGTCCCGTGTCTGTGGACCCCAGATACCGAGAAGTGCTTCAGGGCATAGGCTAGTATCTTCTGGAAGTATCCATCTCAGGGAAGGACATCTTACCTCCATGAAACATGGCCCTCTGGCACAGCTCAGTCCAGTTGCTCCCTGCAGCAAGGAGGGCATCATAGGCTATCATGGGGGCATCATGGCCACGCCGTCCCCCTCGGCCCTCTGAGCTCCACTTCTTGTAGGTCTGAAGAGAACCGTGGGTCAGTGTGCGACTGTCAGAAGATCCACGTCTGTCCCTGTGGCTGCTGTCCACCCACCAGTCCTTCTCACTCACTCGCTGTGTCCTGGCTGAGTCCACAGGGTCCAGACACACTCCGGGGCTGGGGCTGGACTCACCTTGTCTCTCTCCTCTGCGTTATAGTTGTCAGGGAAGGTGGCTTTGTCCTCTCTGTCCTCACTGATTTTTCTTTCCTCCAAATAAAACTGCCACTTTGCTTCGAAGTAAAACCAGTGCTCCTGGTACTCTAGATGCAAGCACAGGGCAGGTGGGCTCGTGGTTCTTAGTGGAGGTGGGCAGAGGGATGGCAAAGGTGGGCAGTGCCCTCCCATGGCTGCAGGTGTGGAGATGGAGTACCTGTGCCCCAAATTAGTAGCCCTGATAAGTATGGCTGCTTCCAGCAGTGGCACAGAAGATGGGGAGGGAGCAAAACAGAACCAGAGCCATTAGCTGCTCTCCAAAGCAGAAAGTGATCATGGGGTGATTATGAGCTTATCATTTTAATTAATTAGGAGATATAGCTCAAGTTTAAGAGTACTTGCCTAGCATGCATAAGATAGTAAAAAATGAAGAATCCCCCAAACTAAAGAAACCCAGAAATCTAAGACAAAATCAAAAGGGCTGGGAGGCAGAGGCAGGCAGATCTCTGTGAGTTCAAGGCCAGCTTGGTCTACGAAGAGAGTTCAGGACAGCCAAGGCTACACAGAGAAACCCTGTCTTAAAAAACCAAAATCAAAAGGGAATTCCGCAATTTGATAACTTAAACCTGGACCTGCACAGTAAGGAGAGAATTTTCGTTATCACTGATAGCCTGAAACCCAAGCCCTGAGGGCTGAACTATCTCTGGTAGGTACATCTGATGAGGAGGGTACTGGCTGGGCTGTGGCCAGCAGCCACTCATTTTACAAGGGACCATGCCCTCCAGAGACTCAGCATCAGGAAATGGAGGAGCCTGCTCTAGGAGGCTTACAGTGTGTCCTCCCCTGGAGGCAACAGAGGATGGGAAATGCCTTGGCTTTTAGGGGCTGGTACGGTCTGGAGGTGGGGGCATAGCTGAAGATAAAGATCTAGAACCTGTTTTCTGTCTATGGCTGGACGGCTGAGAGCAAAGCACAGAGCAGGGGGATTCAGGGCTACAGGGCAGTGGCAGAGGCTGCAGGGAGAAGCCAGGCAAGGCTGGGACATCTTCTTGGACTAGCACATTGCGATTCTGGCCCTGCTGAGCCTCACAGAGCTAAAACATTGCCTGTCTGAATATCACAAAAGGCCAAAGGCCTGTGCAGGGCGGCACCGGCCCCAGCACTGCCCCTACTCAGGAGTAGGCGATAGTCAGCAGCCCGGGAGGGAGCGTTCCAGACCCAGCGCCCGGGACCAGAAAGGCCTCTGATTCTTTCAGTTCCCTAAACCTGGGGTGGGGGGCTGAGTAGACACTCTACAGCGTGTTTACAGAACAACTCTTCGTTGGGTGAGCTTAGGTTCTATTCAAAGTGTTGTGTCTAAGGGGTGCCTGAAACTCTACGTTAAGCAAACTTAAAATCAAACAGATATAACAGGGCTGTTTCTCAGGGGTCACCTCACAAAGAGTTAAGTCCACAAATGACCTGGCAGTAAACTATGTTCTCATGTTCATGCCCTTATGGGTGGCCCACATCTAAAATAGCCATCTGTGTTCTGGAGTCCTGGGTGTGCCACTGTGCTGTAAGGTTCCACTCTATCATAGCAACTTCCTACCAGTCTTGGGGACATCTGGTGACCCTGCTCGGGTGAAACAGCCCACTGACTGTGGATAGAATTGGAGGAACTTCAAGGGACATCTGAGACAGAGGAACCAGGGAATGATGGCTTAAAGTAAGCAAAAATAAAGGAAATAAATAAATGTTCCCTGGAGTTCAAGTAAGTGAAGGATAGAGAGTTCAGAGATGAGCTAGCTAGAATGCCTGGCACCATCCTCTAGGCCCAGCTTCCTTCAGTGCTGAGGCCAAGTGTGTGTCCTCCCGTCCTTGTAAAGTTGTTCTGGAACCATCTAGAATACCCCCCACAACACACACACATCCTGTGGTGATTTTGATGCGACTCTGGGCCTACTCGGGAGTCACTTAGCTTCATGCTGTCTTGCAGAAGCTGTGACTCTGGCCCTGTGCTTACAATTTCCCTTCTGTCAGGACATCCTGGGTAGCTTACTTTAGAAAGTTTGTTCCTCCTTAGGTGCACAGTGGGATACAGAGAGTCACCTGCACTCCCCACCCACTCACATCCCTCTTAGAGTGGAGAACAACCCTGGGGTAGGAGCATCTTCCATATACTCAGTGTCTTGGGGGAGTGAGCCTTGGATCTTTTGGTCCTGTCTTTGGGCGCTTATGTCTATGTCTACTATACAGCATTCCTGAGCCAAGCGGCCGAGGGTGGGGTACACTTTGCTGCCTGTGTGCCAAAGCCATGGTGCTCCCAGGATTTTTGATTAACAGGCTGTCCAAAAGGCTCTGGGTTAATGGGGGCAGATGAGAACCTTGGGAGTGTATGCCTTTAGTGGCATGGGGACTCGTCTCGGTACAGATGGAAGTGTGTGCCATGGGAGCCATCTCTTTGGTCAAGTATAGTTTGGGGTGGGGTTGTGTGAAATGTAGGTGTGATTCATTCCTCTGCAGACACTCGTCTCATCTGTACTGAACACCTGGTGTCGGCTTGGAGGTGCAGTGTGGGGGCATTTCCAGGACCTCAGAGTACTGTGGGAGAAGCCCTTCATGCGGCTGGGGTTCCCCTTGAGATGTGGTACCTGCCCTCTACCAGGTAAGGGCCACTGTGAGGCCAGCTCTTGCCACACTGACCAAGGCTTCCCTAGGCATTGCCTTTGGGTGAACATGCCTGGAGCCGCTGAGCGGCTGGGGCAGGACTAGAGTTTGAGTGTGAGTGCGTGTGTTCTGGGTGGGAGGAAAGCACTGGGGCAGGAAGAAGCCAGGCTCACCTGCCATGTGCCTGATCGTCTTCCGGCAGTAATCCTCAGCCAGCGGAAGTGCCTTCAGCATCTCTCTTCCCCATTGTACCAGTGGCTTTCCCTGTATTGCGTAAGAGGCAAACAAGGCAGTGCACAGAGACCCAAGGAAACCTAGAAGGCAGGAGGAAGACAGATGGAGCTTTGTTCCCCAGGGCCAGTGGCTTTCTGAGTCTAAACAGACCACCCCGTACTGTGAGCTCTGCCTCTCCCTCTGTATAAGAGGCAAGGCACTGTCTCAGGCCTGCTGTAGGACACGGAGACTAAGCAGAGAAGCACATAGCATAGGTCAGGGCATGGAGAGGGGCACCGCCCTCAGAACTGACTAGTACCTCCTTAGCCTGGATCCCAGTTTTCCCTCAAGATCTGTACCTCTCTTTTCCTTTGCTCTGACATGAATGATGTAGCAACACTAAGAACTTTCTCCTGTGTGTGGCTTCTTGGACATCACTACATTTAATGCCAGTTCTGTTTCCAAGTGGAACAGTAGCCACATAGGACTTGCGCTCACCCAGCGCCCGCTTTACCTGTGGGATGGTTGTGGGTCATTCTGCCACACTCAATACTGACTTCAATGAGGGTCTCCAGCCGTTCTGGCTTCCAGTACCTCATTCCAATGCACATCGCTTTAGTGGCAGCTCCAAATCCTGAACCTGTGTGGATGACAGACACCTGGATTCAGATTTGCCTACATAAGCTGTGGAAATATGGCGTCCATAAGTTCTGAAGTATGAGGCTTATGTAAGAGCATGCCTTTAGAATATTGCTAGATGAGTGAACAATGAATGAGCCACCCATATCCTGGACAAGAGAAAAGAGATCTGTGGGTCAGGTTGGAAGAAAGTGAACTTATTTAGCCCCTGAAAAACGGACATTTTCTTGGCCTAGGGCAGTTTCACAATGTCTTCTACTAGGGCAGAAGCAGCATTGAGTAAGATACGGTTGCTTATTTCTTTCCTTGCTCTTCTTCTCTTCTTTCTTTTTTGGAAACAGAGCCTTGTTACAGAGCCACCATTTCTGGGAGATTTTCTCTTTAAAAACACTGTCATTAAGTCCATCCTCTTTTAGCCTTCTCGGGTACTTCATGTATGTGCTGGACTTCCATACATCAGAACACTCATATTCTTTATTTCTGCTGTGAAGGCTCTCTGCTGCCCTTTGAGAAGCTTCCTGTATGCATGCTCTGAACTCTCTCCACATGCACAGCCTTTCCATAAATGTAGCTGTAGGGGACGGTTGGAATCTTGCTTATTTTCCCCCACCAACCTATGGCAGAGAATTTCCACACCTCAACACACAAGTCTACTTCATTCTTTCAAACAGCTATACAGCATTCTGTTGTATAGACACATCACTAACTTTCCCATCCTCTTTCTGAGGGGATACTAAGCTGCTTCCAGGCCTTTGCTAATACAAATGATGATGCAAAGGTCATCCTCACGTCATGTTGTCATGTGGGTCTTTAAGACAGAATCAAAAGGTATTTTCATTACATAATTTTGAACAATATTGGATTTCCCTCTGAAGGAAGCTCTGTTTGTCTTCTCATGTACCACAGGTACCTGAGGTCCTCTCAGTTGGTACCTGTGATGGCCAATTTTAATTGTCAACATGACACAATCTAGAATAACCTGAAAGAGTCTCAGCAAGGGACCGCCTACACTGGGCTGGTTTATGGGCATGACTGTGGGAGACTGTCTTAATTAGAATAATCGATGTGGGAAGAGCCAGCCCACTGTGGGTGGTACCATTCCCAGTCAGGGGATCCTGATTATTTAAAAGTGGAGAAATCAAACTGAGCATAAGCAAGCAAGCAAGAGAGCGAGTGAATGTGCATGCGCTCATTTCTCTTTGCTCTTGACTGTGGGTGCGATGTGACCAGCTGATTAAAGTTCCTGCCTTGGTTCTCTGTAATGACAGTTTTTAACCTGGAGCAATGATAAATAAACCCCTCCCCTCTAAATTGCTTTTAGCCAGGTTATTTTTTCTTATCACAGTAGCAGAAATGAAAATAGGACAGTAGTCCTGCTATACCTGCTTAATCTTCTACTCTTGGTAGTGACACATTTATACCTGTTCAAATTCTCTCTCCTGCTGCTAAAATCTATACTCTACACTCTACCTTCTATTGTTCCTGGGTTGTTCTCTCTTGGCCTCTCCTGGGTATCAGAGCATCTGGCCTGGTCCTGTCACAAGTGCTCTGCTGCTCTCGCCCTTCAGTTCAGAGACATCCTAGGTTTTAGCACTTCCTCTTCTGTTTGGGAATAATCAGCACAGGTCCCCAGATTGATGGAGCTGGGGGGCAGAGCTGATAGTTGTGGCACTTACAGAGCTGTGGTTTCATTATTATAAAAGAGGTACCATGAGACAGGCCCAGCCTGAGAGGAGGAGAGGCTCTGAGGGGTGGGCGCTAGGCCCACCTACATGCTGTACTCCATGGACACAGTATAGAACACTGGAGGTCCTTAGCAGAATACAGCGTCAAGGAAAGGCAGTAGGACAGACTCCTTAAAGTAAACTGGAGATAAGAGAAAACCCTATGGGGGAAGCCTGATTCCTTGCAGACAGCAACTTTAACAGATGCTCAAGCAAGCAGCCGTGGCTGACAAGGGGAGGCCCCGCCCATGAAAGGATCCGATCTAGACAGATGAGGATGCCATGCTGAGTGTCAGGGCAGGCTGCCAGCACCCACACCGGCAGGGTCTCTAAAGGCAGCTCTGTGAATAGAAAGGTTTCTGACCCTTTTCACTGAAGGGCGTATGCCAGGCGAGGAGGTAGTTATCTGGCTTCAGCTGGGAGCAGCCCTCGATAGTGGCAGGGTCTGGCCGATGCTCTGAAAGCTTCTCCACCGTCTCCACGTAGTGCTTTACCATCTCACGGTACAGGTCATCCAGGCACCAGAAGTCTGTGGGGAAAGGGTGGGGAAGAGATGTCACTGAGGGTAGCATGTATGTGAGGTGGTGTATGTGGGAACAGGTTCGATCCATGGCAAGGGCACATGAGTATGCTCAGGGAAGAGGAGGAAGTTTGCTGACTCTCTTGCTGGCTGGATGAATTTTGGACCTCCAGTTTGCTGTCACTACTATTCTGGTGTTGTGAGGGTCTATTTCTGCTAACGGTTCTGTCCACTCAGAAGAAACCCCATCAAACTATGCCAAGCAGAACACCAGTCTCACTGTCATGAAGGAACACCAGGAGACGGGGTGATTCCACTGAGCTCCAGCTTCCCCACCCCCTCAGGAAGCCCAGGTTCTGAATGGCTGCCATTGCCAACTGTGCCCTGGTCCCTTGAAATACATCTGGGGTACCAGCATGGGCCAGGCCCCTGAAGATCATGGGGCGTAGGGGAAGAAAAGAGCTGGAACATACTGAACACCTGCCTTTGCCCAGCACGGTGCCTGGTCCACCTCCACCCATGTGCCTTAGAGCAGCCACCATTTTCTTCAAGAAGACTGCTTGGCATGGCCAGAGCTTATGGGTTTTGACTTTGGGTCACTAAGTTAATCCACAGCTTGTTGGACCAAGGTCACACATGCATAGTCAGTGGAGTCCAGGGTGTGTGGCCATCTGGAGAGCAGGCAGTATAGTTCAGGTACCCTGTGAGGCTGTGGGGTGTGCTTTTCCAGAGTCCTCTTTCATAGCCATCAATGGGCTTTTATCCTATGTTGAAGCTGCACTCAGGATAAAGTGCATTTAGGAGACTCCCACTGCCCTTCCACTGGCCATGGGTGACTGTCTTTGCTGAGGGCTGGGTGGCGAGAGAAGGATGAGGCATGATAAGGAGCTGGTGACTACTGCCCCAGAGAGGCAGGCTGGAAACCCCAAAGATCCTCTTGTGCTGCCTGACAGAATTGCTCCCCTGAGGGGAAAAAAGCCTTTGTGAGTTCCTAGAGAAAGAGCCCTTCCCTTTCCTTGCCCTCAGTGTGCCTGAAACAGAGGTAAGCCCTTCCATTCTTCTCCCCTTTAGGGCTTAGGCCTAGCTACCAACTAGGGCAGGAGAAAGGTTGGACAGGACTTTGTTTTGGAGGAGCGAGTGCCCTACACCCCAGCCAGATTTCTTGTGGCAACCCTACAGGAATAAAATTAGCTGTGTCTGCCTGCAAACCCCTGCTGGGAGGCAGGACCTGAGCATGGCCAGGCTGTTAGTGAGCCGCGGCACCTGGCACTGGTTTACCAGTGCTATCTGTTTACAGACGGCAGCCTTCTCCTCCGTCCTGGCAGCACAGGCCTTCTCAAGTCCTCTAAAACAATTATTATAAGACCACATACCACAAAAATCTCTGCCTTTAATTGAAACCAAGCTTTTTCAGAGTGGAAAAAAAAAAGTCCATAGAAGTCCAGCAGCCATGGACCGTTGTCCTTTAAGTTGGCATGTAAATGGAAATCAGGCCTGACGATCTGCTGACTCTTCTGACCACTCTGCCTTGACTGCTACATGTATCTCCCTACGTCCCTATACATCCTCCTGAAAAATAAGGCAGTTTAGAAAACTGGCCAGCAGCTCTCAACTAATGTAATTAAAAAAAAAAAAAAAAAAGCAAAATACCATGACTGAGTTTGAAATAAAATACCAACGAATTCCACAGGTTGCATCCGCTCTCACTCATCCTGGCTCCAAGCTTTGTATCTGCTCTAACTCTCACTCAGCTGTTGGAGAGCCACTGAGAGGAAGAGAAAAAGCAGGTCTGTCACACCCTTATTCTTCTGGTCTCAAGTTCCCTGCAATCTTCATTTGGAGGCACATCCTGCCGGCCTCCCCTCCCTGCCTCACTGATTGGCCCAGTCAGCCAGAACTGTTTACCCTCAGAGACAGGAGACCCTCTAGGGGCCCAGACCCCAGCCTGCTGGCCTTGCACCACCGCTGAGTTCCTCAAACTCTTCCTGTGGCTCTGCCTGACTCCCACAGCCCCAAGGCGCTCAGGGGCGCAAGCAGCTCCCTGGTTGTCTAGGCTCAGCAGCAGCCATCAGGAATGTGGAGCTATGTGCCTGAGCCCAGAGCAAATGGTCCTGAAATGAGCCACACTCAAGCCTGGTACGAGAGCCCATGCTCAGCAGACACTTGCCTAGTGACATGATGAAGCTGTCTTGGTCTTTGCGCAGCACTACTGGCATGCCTTGTAGAACGACACACCAGGCCCTGTCTTTGTTTCTGCTCTTGTGACTTCATCCACATGCTGGATGAGCTGTGGCCACTGTGGCAGCTGAGCCGTGGCTTATAGACCACAGAGCCTCTGCTGAGTGATGGAGGCATGAGGGACTTGCTTAAATGTGCCAGGGGTGGTTCCACTCCGGGGAGCGGGCTATGGAGCACCCAAACACCACAATAACTAGTTCTGTGGCCACCTTGACCTCAGGCAGTGAGGGGCACATGAGAACACAGCCTGTGGCTGGTTGCCTGGATGTGCCATCACACGGCCACACAGACTGCATGGGTTTGCAGCCACTCTATGCGCCCGCACGGAAACCCTGAAGCCACCTTTCAGAATGTGAAATGGACGGTCTTGGGAGAGACTGCATGTGAGGCCGGCTGGAGAGCCCTTCGTGCACACTTGCCGCAGGAGTTGTGCCTACCATCGGCAGTGCCTACCATATGCCTCCAAAGCCCTTAGAGAGGACTACAGCTGCCTAAAACTGGAATGTTTAAAGACAGAACCATGAGCTGTAGGGAGCAGAAAGCACACTTAGCATCTACAGCCATGGTTCTCAGCCTTCCTAATGCCGCGACCCTTTAACGCTGTTCCTCACACTGTGGTGACCCCCAACCATAAAATTATTTCACTGTTACCTCATAACTGTAATTTTGCTACTTTTATGAAATGTCATGTAAATATCTGTTTTTCAATGGTTTTAGGTGGCCCCTATGGAAGGGTCATTGGCCCTCTAAAGGGGTCACGACCCACAGATTGAGAACCTTTGGTCTAGAGGCTCATCTAAAGGGCTGTTTTCTCATGAGCTGTAACGAGAAGCCACGACGGGGTACAGCACAGCAGCATATGCTTGGTAAACCTGGCGACTGGCAGGGAACTCACTTTTATCCTTAACAAAAACAAAAGCCCAACACTGCAACCAAACCTTACTAAACTCACACCCCTCATCCTGAGTGACTGCTGACCATTGATCTAATCCCAAGCACCCCGTGTCATTACACAGGACCTACTGTGGCAGGGCCTCTCCAAGGAAAGCCCAGCGTTAAGACGCATGTCTAGCGCTCCGCACTCACAGAACACCCGTCAGAAACAAGCACACACAAGGACCTCTGTGTAGCCTAGCAGTGCACTGGTGTAAATACAGCTTCAAGGACGCAAACATCAAGAATAGGTACCTTTTGCTGTTTTGTTTCCAAAGTCATGTTCTCCAGGGGTTATGAGCTGTGCTGGGCTCTGAGCTCTACTACTGACCATAAAGGTATATGAATACGTCCAAAAATATCAGAAGAAATAAATACTTGGAATTTATACTTTTTGAAACCCCTAAAAGATGCTTCACCACTTCCCAAGGTATGACATTGTACCTTACCGATGTGCTTTACTTAAACTGCTTACTTAGGGACTGGTTGATGATATTCCTATACACTTGGATTCTATAATTGTGTGCACTCAGAAAGATACTTCAATGAGCTGTGACACCATATCTTATCAATGTGCTTCAGCTCTATTTAGGGACACGACATTGATGGCATTCCTATACAATGACCACAGAACTAAGCTGAGCTTATTCACGACAGATGAACAAAATGCATAAGTGAGGTCTACTGGCTTGATTGCTGTCCTCAGGTCTTAATTTTGCAATGACAACATATCAGACCTGCAGGATATTAGCACGCCCTGACAAGAAAAGACACATAGTATTTGTATATGCCTCTGAAATCCATGTAACATTTTTGTTGGTCTTAGCACTGGCCTCGTCCTTATCAAACAAACCAACTTTGTTCTCCCATGTCCAAAACTCTTATAACATTTACACATAAACAATGTCCAAATTGAATCACTCATACAGATACTTCAACCTTAAGTATTTGAAGCTGAGATATCATCCCGAAACAATGCTATCTCAGTCCAAAGTTCAAGCTGGATGTCTTGCTCTTTTGTAATAGACCTAGAACAAGAAGCCTCATCCTCTGTGGTGAGAACCCTTGCCTGTGTTTTATCCCACAGGGCAGGTCCCAGAGGCGTTCTTGTGCAGCAGCAGAAACAAGCCAAAGTTGTTGAGAATCTGGAGCTTAATTCTTTGTGAAGTGCTGCCTGCCGTTCCCCAAAGACACACAGGAGAAACATGAGCTGCCCGGCAGGCTCCAGGTCTTTGGTGAATATTAAATCACCACCTTCGGCAGTGGTGTCAGGTTGGTTTGCTATCAACACAGGCAGCCGTGCAAGGGCCTTTCTACCCTAACACACCTGGAACCTATGCCAGCTGGTCCTACCTGTGGTAAGGGCTTCGGCAGTCGCCATGTGCATGATGGTGTTGTCACTCACTGGCCACTTTCCAGGCGAGAGCACAAGGCTGTCCAGTCCCCCGGCTTTTTGCAGCTCCTCCTGGATTGAGCCTAAGACGCTGTTCTCCCTGCAGACATTTCCATAGCCGAGCGCATCGCCAACACTCGCCAACAGCATCGCAGCCTTGAACTTCTCCATCTCAGAAGGTGACCCTCTTCTGCTGCAGTCGCCTTTGTCCTTTCCTGGCCACCCTCAGCCAGCCCGGCTGACATTTATAGTTGCCATTGTATCACCATCCAGCACTCTCCAAATGGCCAGGCGTTCCTTTCCTGCCTTGGCAGGTGCCACCAATGAGATAAAGGCTCTGAGCTCACCACGTGGGAGCTGTGGACAGCACTGGCTCTCCAGCAAAGGAGACTGCTGGCACCGGTTCACACCCAGAGGCGGCTCAGAGCCGCTGAGCCACGCTCCTGTGCCCGCTCCTGGACAGAATGCGCCTCCTGCTGGCAGAGCAGGGCAGGTCACAATGTGAACATGACTGCTCCGTGCCTCTGCTCTGCCCACCTTCAAATAAATGCACTCATCTTGCCATCACACCAGTGCATTATGGGCCCCCCCCTTTGTCTGCCATCTTTCACTCAGCATAATGCTGGGATTCATCTATTGTAGTTTTATGCTCTTAGAAAGCTTGGTGGCAGTGCATGACTTTAATCCTAGGACTCAGGAGACAGAGGCAGCACCACTTAAAAAAAAAATGTCCAGCTAAAACTTTAAAAGATGTAGCATTCCCTGTGAAAAAGTATTATCTTACATCTTCATGTCCAATAAGGGGCTTAAATGCTAACTTTTAGAGTGTTGTATGTCTCAGCACACACAGTGAAATGTGGGTACACCACCTCAGGCCTCACGTGTTGCGACGTCACTGCCTGCTCATGGAGTTCTTAGATAACGGGAGGCTGGGTAGGCATGCTTCAGAAAGCCAGGGTTCTTGGTTTGAAATGAACTAGGAGGATGGCCTCCTCCCTATTTCCTGTCTCTGTAGGCCTCCAGTGAGTCTGTCACACCCAGAACAGGCAGGGGATCACTTGGACTTAAACACTTGAGAACTTTAGTGTGTAGCAAGGTGCCCCTCTTGCTGGCACAACTCTCAGTCTGAAGCAGTCCTGCAAAAGCAGGTGTACAGTTCTCATCCAGATACGACAAACAGTGGAAAGCGAGCAGGAGACGGCTACCCACTTAAGGGAAGGCGGAACAGCTTCTGGATGAAGGGTGAAATGGCTGAAGGAGTCTAGTCCAAGGACTCCTGGGAGAGGACTTTGTTGAGGAAGGTGGTGCCACTAGTTTGTCTGGCTGACAAGCACTCAAGAGCCCCCTGTTACAGGATGCTGGGCACACCAACAGAAGCTGGGGGACACCTACTCTTGTGCCCACAGAGCATCCAGTTTGAAACATGACACTGCACCCATGTCACTCAGACAGGGACTACGCTGTCTCTTCTGGAAATTCCTGGCAGGCACTAAGTGGAACAGATTGCATGCATTTCTTAAAAGCTGTTGTGCTTGGTAAATATGTTTTAACTACAGCTTGTTGCAGGATATTTGGTTATTAGACATAGAAAACCTAATTGTTAGCAAAATATAAAAACTTAAATGGACATCAGATGCAGTTAGGTGTGTCCTGAAGAGTTGCAGTTTGTGTGTGCCTCTGAAAGCCTCCGTAGATAAGAACAAGAATAGCAAGTTCCTGTCTATTTTAAGGCTAGTTGCTTGGGAAAGGTCTTGTGGTCTTTGCTCTATGACCTGAGGCCAAGTCACTGTCATGAGGCACTGGGTGGGGGGGGGAGAGGCTGACCCATTTCACCTTTACGGTGGGACAGAGCAAGGCCACCCAGAAGACTTGGTGTGGAGTTAGGGCAATGTGACAAAGGCTTGCTTGCTGCTACACGGGGTCTCTTTGCTGGCCCAGGACAAGGACTAGGGCCTGGATGTGCACACAAGAAAGTACATCACAACACCGGGGAAAATATTTTATTTACTATTTCTGAAGTTTTTCAGCATTTCTGTAACATGCACAATTCAAGTATAAATAATAAAACAGAAAGCACAATTCTCTGAAAAGCCTTTATCAATTACTAGTACTTCACAGCCTATTGACAATCCCACAGAATTTAAAGTTTTAAAGTGACATTTATTTACTTAATTTATTTACTGTGTAAGTACATGTGTGTGTAGGAGGAGTACATGCATGTCACGGCACATGTGTGGAGGTCAGAGGACAACCTGTGGAAGTCAGCTCTCGCCTTCCACCCTGTGAGTCCCAGGGACTGAACTCAGGTCCTCAGGCTTGGCAGCACACGCCTTAACCTCCTGAATCCTATCACTGGCCCTTCCCCTGAAGAATTTTAAATCTTAAAAATAAGAACGTATTGCAGACCTTCAAAATATAGTTACTTGTGTCTGTAAATGTCTGTGAACAGAAGGTAACTACGAGTCGGGAGCCCACACGCCTGGAAGGAGGCTTTGTCTTCCCAGCCCCCACTAAGTCAGTTTGGTTCCGCATGCTCTCAGAGATGCCCTCACTTCCCCTTCCACAGACCTGTGCTGACAGGTTGCTGGTGCTGGCATGCACTGAGGGGGGCTTTGTGGAGACCGGCCTCCCATTCCGATCTCCACTTCCTCTGAGATCCGTGTTCGACAGCAGCAGGCCGCCTCACTGCAGGGCACACGGGCCTCAGAGCATGTCCCCTGACCAGAATCTGCCCCCACAGCACATTCAAGACATGTCTTGTGTGGACAGGCATTGAGCAGTCCCCTGTCCTGAAGTGGGCCCAGCATTTCTGCACGCTGGCCACGTTGTAGGCTGGGCAGCAAGGCACGCTTGTGACACCAAATCTTGGCAAGTGTGAGGTAGGGTCAGCACAGTGATGTTCAAAGCTTGACACCAGATGAGCAGGAAGTATCCAGGCCGTCCGTGCCTGTGTGCGTGAGTGAATCTTGACCAGACAAACACCAGAAAAGCAGACAGTGACAAGCACAGTGACACGGGACAGTCCCACGGTGCAGACAAAGACGACAGGGGCATTGGGTGTAGATTCTTTTTGGATGGTGTGTGTTTTTGCTTCCAAATGCATATGGCTATCCAAGGGCTGGACACTGGGTACTGCAAACACTGCAGATGGTGAAGGGAACCAGTGCGTTTGATTTGTAAATCTAATTCATCACTCAAAAAGAAGTATTTCTCATGGAAAAATGTCCTTTTGAATATAATAAAATATATTAAAAAAAATAAGAAACTTCTCAGGAGGCAGCTTCCAGGCCTAATAATAACCTTATTGGAAGTAAAACAGGCCCACCAGCTTTGTAAACAGTTTGAAATGAACCTGCTGGATTACATCCTGTGCCATCCCTGTGCAAACTGCAACAATGTCTTCTAGAGAAAATGAAAACAAAACATCTAGTAAATCTAGAGATCTGATAATTCAAAACTATCATTCTTGAATACCAAGATTAAAAGCAGTAGGCTCTCTGAGAAGGCCATCTTTACGAGGGCACGTTTTCTAACAGCGTGGACGTGTATAAAAGATACATCATTCTGAGGACACAGACGCTATTTTGAAGCATAAGTATAGCAGGATTCCAGTTTGGAAACCACTGGTGCTCACCTTAACGTCATGAACTCAACAGCATGCTTTCAGCCTTGCAAACAGGTTCTAGGTTGCATTCTGTAAAGACAAGTCATGCAGGCGACTCCTAAAGCAATAGCTCTGATGACCCGGCCCTAACCCCGAGGAGCTTCTCTGTGTCTGCCGTGAGCTACTGCAGCCTTTAAGCGGAGTCAGAATCTGCTTCATGAATAGACGAGGAAGACTCTGAAGTCAGCGACAAATGCACACAGCAACCAACCCAGTGGTCCTCCAGGATACGGCTCATCCTACCCTCCATTTGTCTGGCTTTTCCACCTAGAAAGGGCCACGTCTCCCACCTGTGACTACAGCTCGTGCATATTCTACAAAGTCATCTATAAGGACCGGCCAGGCTCCTAAAGGAAGACAAACAGGTTTTTAAAATGAGTCTTACGTCAGTATTTTCATATTAAAAAATTCTTCCCCAATTCTAACATCTAAAGAACCAAAATAATCTAAAGCGTGCATCTGATCACATGATTCACTGAAGTCACTTCTGTTCCAGGCAGCACGGTCAGCGAGTGGTGGGTGTTAACAGCCGTGAGACTACACTCTCACTGATCAAGCCTACACAGTGGTTTCTCAGGCCTCAGCCAATGTATAGGCAGTGAGAACCTGCTGACTGGGAATGGAAAGAAATGGAGCCATTGCTTCCTAGGGTCCAAAAAGCATTAATCCCTAGTCATGGGCATTCTTCCTATGACTCCTTACCAGAAACCCAAGTCTACACAGCGCAGAACCCCACAGCTGCTGGGCTCCCCTGTGGCACCGGCACTCGCTGCTCTCATGCTGGCTGTCTTCTGGCAGACTAGTTATGGCTCCTGAAAACCAAGCTGTCTACATTCAACTGTTCCTTCTTCTACACATGTTTTTGTCTGGTGTCTGCTCTGAGCTGGAGACTGCTGAGTGTAGAGGATATACATGTGAGGGGCATGATGTGAACTGAGTGCTGGCAGTGACAGGCGTGAGTTGAACATGTCCTAGACAAAGTCCAGGCCAGCTAAATCTGGAGGGGAGACCAGCCACCCGGAACCAGGCCCCTCTCAGGGAGCAGTCCTATTGCATGGGAGGACCTTAAATGTCTCTGATGTGGGGGCTCTCTGGCATCAGGGGGGAAATATGTCCAGACATGATATCACCTGCAAGCCATCCTACCCGGGTTTTATGTGGCTATAGGAGCTGACAGGAAGGAAGCAAGTACACTGCTCTTATCCCGGTGGGAGGGTGGCCTTTCTGGGTCAGCGTCTGCCCCTCACTCCGGGGTTGGTCACTGAGCAACCTGGTCCACAAGGACAGTGAGCATTGCTGGTAACCCTGTGAGAACCTACAACTTCTAGTACCTTCTTCATCGTAGTTAGACAAATCATCTGCAATCATGTTTCCAAAATCTAGGAGAAGGTTCCAAGTATCCCTTGGAATTGATCTTTTGTGATGCTCCTAATACATAAGAGAAAAACATCCACCAGGTTAAGGTTCAGATCGTAGCTCTCAGATATTATAGTGGTTGGGGCACACTGCATTAGTAAGTGGATTCTCCTAAATGTGATGAGGGCAAATCCAAAACCACCACAAGTGAAGGTAATAGTCCTCTAGATCAACTGTATGTGCTATATGCCATATGTCCAAATAAAGAATATTATACAGTTCTGTTTTGGTCACACAGAGGCCAGTCTCTAAATGTCTTTTTGCTCCCCACTTCCCTAGAACTGCTCAGCAATGATGCAGGACCATATGGAGTCCTATTTCTACTTACCTTATTTCCTCACATTTATACTCTATAGACCAAGTAATTGTTGAGTGGGATGAGATTGCATCAACAACATTGAGACTAATACAATGCCTGTACCACAGGCAAGTTCTGAGGCAAGGCTTGGCCTCCAGGGCTCCTGTCTCAGCGGCTCTCCCCTTGTGGCCTACAAAACACTCATCCTCGAACTTATGACAGCTTTTACATGTCAATGCCTGCATGTAACATAAAGAGCTGCTAAGCTCGTGGGTATGATACATTTTTCACATTCATCTTTTTCTGTGCACATGTATAGGTCAGAGGACAACTTGGTGGCAGGTACGCTTATCTGCTGAGCCATCTTGCCAGCCCTTATCTTATGTCTTTACTTATTTTTTGGAAGCCTATTTATTTACTTTATTCTTTGAGAACTTCATAGAGTATATTAAAACACCAACCAATCTAGCAGTTGGTTGTCAGTTCTTTCTACAGTTTGTCCTCCCCAACCCCGCACCCCTTCCAGCAACATTAGGTCTAAGAAGTACCCAGCTGACATGCCAATCCAATCTAACTGCTCTGTGCGGCTCTATTGGGTAAATAGTCTCACTTTATTTATCAGCCCTTCAGTCAGTGGACACTGTCTGCTCTAGCATTCTGCTGTCTTCATGATGCAGTGGCTCCTTATTTCTATACACATGGCTGTGGGGTTCTCTGTAGAATGTCTGCAGTTTGGGTGTAAGCCAAAGATGAGAGCTTGGTGAAATAGGCTAGTAATCCCAGCTATTAAGTAAGGCAAGAAGATCCAGGTTCAAGGCTTGTCTAAACTCAAGTCCCTGCATCACACAAAACGTGAACTGGGGACAGAGACCTTGTCGAGCACTTGTGTAGCATGTATGGGCTAGAGGTTCCATCCAAGTGCCACAAAATGAGGAAAGGAGGAACTGGGTGCTGCATTAGCAACCAGTGGACACCTGTAGGAACAGGACACCTGCTGAGCCAAGCCCCTTGGCACGATGCCCATCCGCAGGCCTCAAAGGCAGCACTTGCCCCATGCTCTGTGAATGCTATCACTAGAGACAGAAACTGGGGCACAGATGGAGAAGAGGAAAGGTGCACCCGCCGGGCAACAGGATGTGCTGTGGGAAGCATGGCCTTTCATGGTTGTGACACTGTGCAAGGTCTGGATATTCCTGCTATCACCAGGACATGTCCTTGCACTCCAATCACTTCAGAGAGCTCACAGCAACATGGCTGTCCCTACATGACAGGGTCCAGCACAGCCATAGTGCCTGCCTCAAGGTACCACACAAAAGCCTCCTGTACAGCTGTATGTGGCAGAATACATTTTGAAATAGTGTCAGGTTACAGACACACGGTGGCCAGAGTACCCCTGGCCAAGAACTGGTCCACACTCTAGAGTCCCAAGCGATGTGCAGCCAGTGTGGTTCTGGCTTTATGGATTTGAAGTTCCTCAGTAGAAATGAAGGACTGCTGAGTTTAGGAGGTCCTCAGAGGAGATGGCACGGTATGAGCTGCTGAGATTTGCAGCTGACCGAAAAACAACGTTCTAGAAGGAGCAGCCACTGTAGAATAGCCTGGGAGCAGCTCCGACCTGGCTAGCCTGGAGCTCACTAGTAGACTAGGCTGGCCTTGAACTCATAGAGCTTTGCCTGCCCTGCCCTCCTGAGGGCTGGAATTAAAAGCGTGTGTGTGACCCCATGCAGGGCCTAAATGTTAGCTTTTTAAATAGAAAAACCTTCCTCTTGACTGGGCACTATAGATGAGAAACAGTTACTTACCAGCAGAAATGTGTTCCAAAGATCTAAAAACTTAAACCTTCCAGACAATACCAACTTCCAGTATGCAACAGCCATTTCTAAATCTGGCAGAGAGAAGTGGGAGGTGAGGGAGAATGGGGGTGGGGAAGGACAGAGAGAGAAAGAGAGAGGGCGATTAATAAATCCCAGTCTTTTTCCTTTGGAACAAAAATAATTACTTGGGAATTTTCCCCAACAGTCATAGGAGAGCCAGTCTCTACATGAGTGTTTCTGGAAATGGCGTATAACCTAATTTTATGACTCTGAGGACATTTTTGAGGAAGCACTTGTGTGTTATTATTCAGACATGCAAGTAGTTGCCCCCAGTTAACCAGTTTTGGAGATTTGCATTCCATGTGTATCAGGTTGAACTATATGCCTGATCCAGCTATAGCTAGCTGTTTCAGAACCATCTGATTCACAAGCACACTGAATTTCTCACTGCACAGTGACAAATTTCTACATACAAACTATTTTCACTACAAAGGAATTAAAAAAAATTGGTTGTTTGTCAATCAAAGCCAATATCCTCTCCCTCAACTAGAAGACAGTGATTATTTCACCATTTTAAACAAATCTACACCATAAAGTTTGTTTTAAAGGTGAACAGAAAATGAATTCTGGGTTTTGAGGAGGCACTGAAACAGAATCTCCAGTGAAAGTTTTCTGGAAGAGCAGTTTACTCCCCATTCACTGTAAATTTTTTAAGTATTTCTTTTTATGTGCTAAGACATAGAAACAGGGACATAGCAAGTCTGTCTCTAAGCCTGAGTACTTGTAATCATGATGAACACTGCTCGCCACAGGCAATAAAAGGATAGCTATGCTGAAATAGTCTCCTACTCATAGTTATGCACATATGTCAGATAAAACAATGTGAAAAGCAGCCTGACAACTATATTAAGAGAACAGATTAGTTTAAATGCAAAATACGCAATGAAGCACTTGTCAAGACTTTGTTGTGAATCTGATTTGGTCCCCTGTGGACAGAAATGATTCATGTCAGGCTCTAATCTGAAACTTCCAGGGATGATCTCACTAACACTGATAAACTAGAGATGAGTGGGTAGCAGCAGCACTGGGCAGGACACTTATTCCCTATGGGCTGACAGGGTGCTGCAGGCCTGACTGTCCTAAGCACGCTGGAGTCTCACTCAGAAAGGATAGTCGGAGAGGTCCAAGTGATGGCAGGTGGAGGACTTGCTAGGCCTTACCTATGGGACCCGCAGGGTAAGGCTAAGATGATTAGTCTGGTCCTGCTTATAAGTCTACATCCTTAGCCCTTAGGAAGAGCATTAAGTGACATCTATATGCAACTCATCTTAATGATGTAAAGCGCTCACACTGGGAAATGGAGGAGAACCTGAGGAGGAAAGAAAAATACAGTTTTATGGCATACTTCATGATCTACTGCGTCCGGGTTAGTTCTGGTCCTTCTTATAAAGTACCTTACCTGGATGAGCAGGACTTACATGACTAAAGGCAAATGTACAAATTTCCAACATTTACTATTTCTATGTAAAAATGTTACACCAATCACGTAAGCTCAGTCATTTGCAAAATATTGACTACAAAATCCCCGAACAGTAGGACTTGAGACTGAAATCATAGTTGCTCTGGTATGAGAATGCTTTGGCATCAATTTCTTTCCAAGAACCTCTAAAAAGTCCATTTCTTGATTAAGAAAGTGCTAGAAGATAAGGACAGTTAGAATGTATATGTGTGATACTCCACTAGACAGAGAAGCATCCTTTGTTCAGAAAAAAAAATTACCTAATTAGTATGAAACTTCATTTCCTCAAAAATCGAGATTCCCAAAGCCAGATGGTTTAACGGTGGCCAGTATAACATCATTTAAGTTCCTGAGTTCAAACACAGAGTCAAGCTGAGGGGCAGCGCAGTAACTGAGTAGCAGCCTAGAATGAGGCTCTCAGTATGATCCCAGGAGCAGGCACATGTGTGCTATACATATGTCAAAACATTTAATTCCCCTTGCAGAGGTTAACTATTTGCTGAGTACAGAATAAAAAATGACATCACATTAAAAAAATTACTGCTGGGTGCAATGGCAGCAAGGTCACTTGAGTCCAGGACTTTGGGGCCAGTGTGGGTAACTTAAGAAACCTTGTCTCAAAAACACTAATATCTACACATGACCCTGGCATGCAGGGACACAAAACACAGGGCAAGAGGAGAACAACGTTCTCCCAATGCCACTCCCACAAGACACGCCTCTTCTAGGAAATGCGGAGCCTGCCTGCTGAGCTCTTCCACTCACGCCAATTCTTCAGCAGACACACCACCCGGCACACATGCTCTGGAAAGACCAAAATGACGGTTCTGCTTCTAATTAACACTCACACAGTCATTCGTTCTTTAGTCCTTTTGAAAAAGCCCTCAAAAACCTTCCTCAGATAAAAAAATTAACTCAATAACTTTTAACTTTCTGGTAGATGATTCTGATAAGCATAGTATTCACAGAAGTAAGCAAGGCAGCCCTTTGTTCTCAGTAAAGAAATCGTTAAATTTGCTGTAGCTTTTACTGGCCAATTCTACTGCCTGAGGCTATGGAAATTTATAAAATGGAGGCCTGTACCTTAAGGAAGACTCCTTACCCTTACCCTTACCCTTACATTGAACGTCTCTGAAATATTCACACATACAGAATAAATTTTATCGTCTTTATTTATTTTTTGCAATGCTGGCAATCAAACCTATGGCCTTCCACATGCTAGGCAAGTGAATTACAATCCTCAGCCTTCATTTTAAAAGTTTAAAGTGGGCAGTGATTTTAGATTCTAATTTATAACATCTTCGAAAATCCTATGAGGAGCTACCTGCTGTTAAAAGCCAAGTGATGCACATAGGAAGAAAGCAAAATCTCCCAGCCGAGCCATGAGCTGAACTCCGTCCCCCCCACCCCCGCCAAGAACACTGTTCACCCAGGCAACAGAAAGGCTGTCCAGTTGAGTCCTGCCTCAATCCTTGACTCAAAAGATTAGGAGCTCTAGACAATGATAATTTGAAGACACTATGTGTTGCGGTTTCTTGTTATGTGGTGATAACTAACTCAAACACTGCATCTGTTGTAAGTATTAAGAATCTACATTACTTTCCTTCCTCTCTTTTCTTTCTTTTTTTTTTTCCTTTGGAGTCAGGGTCTCATATGCAGCCCTGGCTAGCCTGGAATATGATAAAGCTAGCCTCAAACTCACAGAGATGGGCCTACTTCTGCCGTTGAGTGTTGGAACTAAATGTATGGGTCACCATGCCAGGCTGAATCTGCATTTGTTGACATTCTTAAAGACTCTGAGACTGTCTTGCAGGCAAGACAATACAAGGCCTATAAGGAATTCCTGAGACTGTCCTATATTTTCAAGTTAGTATGACACTATGACAGAAATTAAACACATGGAGTTAAATGAAATCTAACTTTAAAAATAATTTCACTTCATTAAATAAAAGGCATCTGCTAAGATTATAGAGTATCAATAAATACAAATGGTTTTGCCTTTGTTTTCTGAGCCAGAGTCTTGCTAAAGCTTTGGTGATCCCTGACTTGCAATAATCCACCAGCCTCCCAACTGCTCAGATTAGGCAGCTTTAAGTATTCTGAAAGAAGCTTAATTACTCTCCTATTATACTAAGATACAAAACAGAAGGAAACAGAAAAAAAAAAAAAATGAACAAACCCCTCCCATTCACAGAGGCTTTACGGGGCCCTTTTCTCAACCACTTCACACGAGGGATTGCTGCTGCTTAAACCTGGACTAGACTAGTTACCATTTTGAAAAGTTCAAGTAACCTCTAAGAATTCAGTTGCTCAGAGTAAAGCATTACCTACATTTCCAGCTGCTGAATGACAGTGCAGCCAGCTGCACCATCAGGGCAGGAGGCCAGAGACAGGGTGCCTGTGTGGACTCCACATGACAGGAGCTGGGCTCAGGAAGAGCAGGGGAAGACAACAAAGCCTGGCAGTGTAAAATGAAGTGTAACAGGCTCAGAGGAAGCGATCCTGCTCTAAACACAGCACTGACCCTGGAGGAGTGACTGTACCTTCCCTTCACCGCTGAGTGTCTGTCTCTCCAGCCCCCAACCACAGTGTCTCAGGCACCCTAAAGCCTGGGTGAGCCCAACCCCCACCTTCTGCTAAGCTTCTAGAAAACTCCAGCGATGTACACCTGAAAACTCTGATGATATTTAATGGAGTGATCAGGGTCCAAATTAAAAAAACAGACTTCAAATGTAACAGTTCTTTTTCTCTTAAGTCTCTTAGGAATGGAGAGAGGTGACAGAAAGATACAAAAGCCAAGCGTTTTAATCCCCAAGTAAAAACTGGAGTAAAGTTTTACTAAAGTAAAAACTTAATTCAACGCCATTCCCCTCCACAGGGGTGGGGGTTAGGGTGGGGTAGTCAAGAGCAACCGAAAGACTACAAACATGCAATCTACTGATTCTAATTACCTTACAGGGCTGGCATTCGCCTTTAACCCCAGCAACCAGTAGGCAGAGGCAGGCAGGACTCTGAAGTTGAGGCCAGCCAGGCCTCTACAGTAAGACTCTATCTAAAAGACAGCCTAGAGATGTAGGTCAGTGGTGAGGCCGTGTTGGCGTGTGTGAGGCCCTATGTTCAATCCCCAGTATTGGAGGAGAAATCAGTCCCTTCAACATGACAAGAAGTGACTATAAACAGAAAGTTATCCCACACTATCAGTACATGCCACAAACATATCCACAGAGTAGGCCAAAAGTAAAACTTTCAACTTCAAAATAGGCAAAGAACATTAAGAAATAAAACACCATAAACCACAATTTAAAAATCAGGTTAAGGGGCCATTTGCCCTTTTTTTTTTTTTTTTTAAATGACAACTTGACACACCTAGAGCCATTTGGGAAGAGGAAACCTTAACTGAGAAAATACTCGCATTAAACTGTGGGACATGTTCTTGCCTGATGATTCAGGTGGGATGGCCAGCTCACTGATGGTGATGCCAACCCTGGGTAAACTGAGCAAACCAGGAGGAGCAAGCCAGTAAGGCCCACTCCTCCACAGCCTCTGGAGAAG